GGAACTCAGTCTGTAGTTAGGCCTATAGTTTATCCTCTTTCTCTCTAGCCTTTGGTATTACTGTACCTATCTACACTTTATGACAGGAGGTACTAGCTGTTGTTGTTGTAGATAATATACTAACATTTAATAACATCCAAGAAGGTCACAGTTAGTTACACAGTGACGTACATCACACAAGTCCGTGAAATTTCATAGGCCTACCGTAGGTAAACATAGAAAGAGCAATAATAAATAAATAAAACTCGAGCGTCACGACATTGCGAAGTGTCTGCTCTTGTTCCTCGTATCGTACTCACTCGAGTCAATCCGAGATGGCCCGAGTGAAGTTTCATGCAAATGTTTCGTACGGGAAAAAAAATCGCATCCTGGTGGCCATTTCCTGGCCAAGCCTGACGACACCACTCTTCATTATTCACAGAGAGCTCTGAAGCCCCCTCTGAAATTTTCACAAAGTGTTTCATAATATGTTAAGTTTAAAATAATAAGTGGCAAATAAAGGATGATGACACCTATCACAATATTTCAGCATATACTGTATAATCCAGCTGCTTGTGTCAACATTATAAACAAATATTATTGGCTCACAATTGTTCTTTATTTAAAAGGTAGTTTATCAAATACTCAACCACCCATGGTCTTCGACCAATGCAGTATAAAATGTTTTTTTCGTGTTGATCAGGTTTTTCTGTATCGTTGGAGATAAGTAAATATTTTCTTTACGTATAAACACCATGTTTACATTTACTGTAATCAAGATTTTTAGTATTTTATTCTACAACAACATGTTTTTATCTTCGTGACCTTTTAATTCACGTACCTCCCAATGGAAGGCCCCAGCTAGTTTACTTGCAGTAAGAAGATGGTTTGTTTTTATTTTAATGCTGCTATGCATGTTAGTATGTTATTTTCGTTTTTGGTGTTTTTGCGTTGGTGAACTTTTTGAAGTTTTATCATAATTTTACAATAAATTAAATAACAATCAATTTAATAAAATGAACAATAAAGATAATTTAATTTGATTTGATTTGAGTTCATTCAATGTCAGTTTCTTCAGTGAGTTGTCAGGTGCTCTGTCCGTTGCGGCCGTAAATTATGTAAATAATATTATAAATTTGAATCGTACTTCCAATCAGAGCCAAATTTGGTTAAGGCAGAGAAATATGTAGCATTGTCAATGTGTAATACCTTGAAGTGAATTGGTCCATTATTTTTTGTGTTATGCGCCCGGAAGTACACACAGACGCGTCTATTGCAATTTTCTTCACCTCTCCTTCGGAGGGGATGGTAATAATAAAAAAGGTACCATGAGACGGACTTTTATAAATACAACCAAATAACAGGTTAAAGTCATTTTATGATTAAGATACAACAAAAAGAAAGTTATTGCAGCGTCAGGTGTTTTACTACTAGGATGAATGTAGTACAAGTACAATCATTAAAAGAAAGCACATTATGTCACCTAATAAATTGTCTGACATGGACTATACTTGCCGTGGTACCATTTATTCATGGACGTAAACATACCTTCTCCAAATGCCCGTCATCTTAATTTCCTTGATTGTTTTTCAGTCATTAAAATATATTTGCAATAATTTATTCCTCTTTTATTTTCTTTCTCTTTTTAACAAGAGATAATTTAGTGGCCCAATTTATAAGAACAAGTCTTTAATGAAGGGACCGCCGACTTTCTTACTTAGTATTACCATGGTGCTAGTATTACTGGTGCTTAAGTACAAAACGGAATTAAACAGAAAAACGATTTGAGCAATCTCAAATAACATACAATTTTGTTTTTCATTTAGGTCAAGAGTTGAACTACGGAATGGACAAAAGAACTTGCATATAATTTTGTTCTTGAAATTTTTTATTTGAGATTTCTAATATTACGAAAATTATAAGGAGAAATATTATTTGTAAAATTAAAAAGATTCTTTAGATATTTTGGCACCCGATTATTCATAATTGTAAAGAAAACTAGGAGTTTTTGGTGTTTCAGTTTTTGTCGTAGTGTGGGCCAGACAAAATCATCTCGCAATAATTGGTGTTTTGAAAGTTTGAAAGGCAAATGGGAAAAACTCATAAAACAGCAAACGGCCATATAATGCAAAACAATTTAAAATTAAAATTAAAACGGAACAGTAGAGAAAATCCGATCAGAATGACAAAATAAACTAAACATCCACTGGAAGGAATCTCAATATCTGCAGACGGATCCGTTTCGGCCTTCCAGGCCTCATCAGTGCAGCTAGGGTACAGACCGAAACGAAACGTTCGACCAGCTTAGGTAGGGCCCAAACTAGTCCCACGACCACTAATGATTACAG